AGTGCGGATGCAGCCTTTGTCTCCTTTCTCTCTCTGTCATCCTCTTTCTCCCTCTGTCTCCCATGTCTCTGGAGCTTTCTAAGGCAGAATGAACTGCCTGGATGTCTATTACACATACTTGAATCTGAATTTAATGAGACGCTGAAGTAGACTTTTCAAAAACCTCCTTCTGACTCTTGTTTTCTATATTGGAGTGAATTAATGCTTGCATCACCAGGGTCTAGTTTTTCCAAATTCATCCCACTTGGATATATGTAGATGAATTGTTGTTGCTGGCTGTTATTCAGAATGATCCCTTGACCATACTCTGTTGGGTCCTAAGGGATCATGGAATGAAATGCGAAGTATACAGTAGTGTAGTTTTTTGTGGGGTTTTTTGGGCTTTGTGGCCATGTTCTAGAAGAGTTTCTTTCTGATGTTTCACCAGCATCTATAACTGGCATCTTCAGAGAATGCTGGAATGGAAGAGAGTGAGTATATATACCCACTCTCTTCCATTCCAGCATTCTCTGAAGATGCCAGCTACAGATACTGGCAAAATGTCAGAAAGAAACTCTTCTAGAACATGGCCACACAACCCGAAAAAAAACACAATAAACTATGGATGCCGGCCATGAAAGCCTTTGACTATACAGCAGTGATTTTTCAAACTCTGATTCTCCAGGCATTTTGCACTTCAGCTCCCAGGAGCCACTGCCATTTCGGCTAATAGTTTGGGATTCTGGGAACTGAATTCCAAAACATTTGGAAGGCCAGAGTTTGGGAAGTATAGTGGTTTGAGTCTTGGACTATGGCTCTGGAGACCGGGGTCTAAATCCATAGCTAGTCGTATCATTCGTTAGAGCAAGGCGATTCCATCAGATTTTAGATGTCACGAAAGGGCAGCAATTGTTTCTTATTTACTTTCCTATTATTGTGTTTTTACTGCCAGTCAGAGGTGCTTGTGGGATTTCCGGGCACATGTGCCAAAATAGCTCTGCAAGCTTTGGATATTGTGCATCTCATGTCTGGCAGTTTGCTGCTGTGCGTCAGGTGGCAAAATAGATCGGGTCAGCCCTGGGTGGGTGCACGGATGCCATGTGGAGCGAAGCTGAAAATATCCCATTTTCCCTTTGTCTGGAAGGCTCCACTCTGCCATTAACATCCAAGCTGTTTGGGAAGTGTCTGAGAAACATCTAGTTAAATTCACCATCAAACAACTCCGAAGACAAAATATCTGCCCACGAAACAGAAGAACAAGCTGAAAGGTTTTACATTTCCGTAGTCAGGCAGCAGCATCAATACTTAAAGGACCTGGGCAGCATGCCCAGCCATATCTGGTGAAACAGAAATGATGGGTTTCCAGTAAAAATGTCCAAAGTACCTGTTGCAAAGTGTGTATATTTGAAGGGGGTGGGTGGGAAATCCCTCATCCATATTTCCAAATATAAACCATCTTCCTGCTGGTGACTTTAATTTTACAATCCTGACTGTCCCCTTCCACCCCTCCATAAAGAAATCCCAGCAGCCAAGCTTTTAAAATAGATTGTCAGGATAGTTTCCTTTTTTGGAAAAAAAGCTTATTATGGTCAATATCCGGTTGGACCTACATTGCTATGTCTAGGCAGTCTCTAGTGTTTTCTTCTCAAAAACCACCAGTCCTGTTGATCTGTGCCATGGACTTTACATACTTCGTAGGAAATCAATCAATCAATCAATCAATCAAACATTAACAAACAAAATCGGTGCCCAAATGCTGCATTAAAGGAACACAAAATCCCACACTGACATAGGATCAAGTCTTCTGTTCAGTCTGAAAATCCCTAATTCCCTCAACCCATCCTCATAGATTTTGTTCTCCATACTTCTTATCATCCCGGTTCCCTTCTCTGAATCCATTCCAACTTGTCTATGTTCTTTCCAAAAGGAGGCACCCAGAACCGAACTCAATACTCCAGATCAGTGCAGAATACAGTGGCACTATCACTTCCCGTGACTTAAGGCTGCATCCGCACTGCAGAAATAATCCAGGTTGGAGCCACTTTAATTGCCAGGGCTCAGTGCTATGGAATCCTGGGATTTGTAGTTTGTTGTGGCACCAGAGGTCTCTTGACAGAGTAGGCTCAAAGTCTCCCATAAATGCAATCCCCAGAATTCCATAGCAGTTAAGGCGGTGTCAAACCGGAGTATTTCTGCAGTGCGGATGCAGCCTTAGAAACTGTGGTTGTATCAACAGAGGCTAAAATATCCTTTGCCTTCTTTGCTGCAGCTTCACACTTCTGGAGCATGTTCAACTTACAATCAACAATAATTCTAGGGTCCTTATATATAGTACAGCAAAGCCAAGTACCCCCCATCCTATACTAGCATTAGATTTTTGTGGCCTAAAACTTTGCATTTGTCTCTGCTGAATTTCATTCTGTTGTTTTCAGCCCAATTGCCTACTTTATCAAGGTCCTTTGAATTCTGTTCCTATTTTCCAATGTTTTAGTTACCTTTCCCAGTTTTGTATCATGCACAAACTTGATAATGATTCTCTCTACGCCACCTTCTAAGTCTAAGATTAAAAATGTTCCCTACCCTATGCAAGTTTACTCAGAGACACAACTCCCATTGCGTTCATTAGGGCTTGCTACTAGGAGGGCTGCATAGGATTGTAGACTTTGGCTGCATCTGCACTGCAGAAATAATCCACTTTGACGCCACTTCAACTGCCATGGCTCAATGCTATGGAATTCTAAGCAAAAAATACCTGGTGTGAATTTTGTGCAGGATAAGTGCCAAACTATGAATAGTCTTCAAAAACCAGTTTTCAAAGACTTCTTCGCAGCAGGAGGAGAATTGGTAAAATTACTTGTTGCTTCCTTGGAGAAGAAAATTCACAAAAAGAGTGACATCTTTTTGGGGAGGCCTTTGCATCGCTTCACTTGTAAAGTACACGACATTGTTCTTCTTCTGCTCCTCACCCAGAGCTTGTAAAGTTACTTTTAAAGAGTAATTTGACATAGCTATAATTCCATCATTCTCCCAAAATAGTTAGTTGGTGTTATGAAAGTTTCCCATTTCTCCAAAGTAACTAGAAACCTGGGCACTAAAGAAAAAAAATTCATGCAGGATTCTTATGGGGGGGGGGAAACCCTCATTTTCTGTACCAATAACTACAACCCTGGGTTCATATATTTGTTGTTGTTGTTGTTGTTGTTGTTGTTGTTGTGTGCCTTCAAGTTGTTTCTGACTTGGGGGCGACCCAAAGGTGAACCTATCATGGGGTTTTCTTGGCAAGATTTGTTCATAGGAAATTTGTCATTGCCCAGAGGCTGAGAGAGTGTGACTTGTCCAAGGTCACCCAGTGGATTTACATGGCTGAACTGGGAATCGAACCTTGGTCTCAAGAGACACAGTCCAACGCTCAAACCATTATGCCATGAGATACTATCTATCCTCTATAAAGCCATGTAGGGCTTTATAGTTCATAACCAGTACAATGAATTGTGTCCAGAAAAGCTGTTCTAACAAGGGAATTAGATTTTTCCCTGCAATGATATTTATTATTATTATTATTATTATTATTATTATTCGTATTTCTGTATCGCCTCCCAGCCCACAAGAGCTCTCATGATGATGAACAAATAAAAACCAATTCAGCAAAGATACAAACATTTTAAAAACACATTCACGTGCTCTTTGAAAATTCCCGAAAGTCTCAAAAGGATAAGCAAACAGCAGGAGGATCTTTTTGTCCAGTTTTTCCTAACAGTCAAGTTTACAAGACATCGAGGCACAAGTCATGGTTAAGTTGAAAATCATTCCAAACTTAGTACAGGAGGAGGGGAAAAGGAAAAGAAAAGATGAAGTAAGCTCACCTGGATAGCGTACAAGTCCGCCGCAAGTCAGGCAGTCGCTCGTCTCCAAAAGGAATGGAAAACAATAAGAGGCCCAGAAATGCTTTTGATCTCCAGAAAAGTTGGAAGGCTTTGGCAGCATCTTCCCTTTTTCATATTTGGAGATCTGCAGCTCCGCATTCCTTCGCGACGACATGAAAGCAAGGAAAGCAAGGGCTCTTTCGCTCCTGTGCAGACTAGGCTCGGCTGCTGAAGTAACCGAAAAGGAATGCTTGGGTTTTGTATCCCATTTTATAGGGCGCCATTTATGGAAACCGAAGCCGTACAAACAGAGTTATCAGATCAATGTTTGCGTGCCTGTGGGTATAGTCTGGGAAAGTTGCTTTTTTTGGACTACAGTTCCCAGAGATCTTGCCGCACCTTAGAAAGAAGTTGGGAGCATGAGCTTTCGTAGACTTCGGTCTACTTCCTCAGATGCATGAAAGCTCCTGCTGCCAGTTAGTCTTTCAGTTAGTCTCAAAGGTGCGGCAAGATCCCTTTGCATACTGCCTTTCCAGACTAACACAGACGTATCTTTGAATTCTACAATTCCCAGAGTCACCCAAACCAGTGCTGGTTGGAGAAATCTGGAAGCTGTAGCCCCAACATAATTTTTCTCAGATGCAGCACTTTTAAGAGAGATAGCCATATTAGGCAGCTTTGGTATCAAGAGAAGGAAGGGGCCTTGTGTCAACCCATTGGAAACCACTGGGTGGCCTTAGGCAAGTCATACTCTCTCAGCCTTGGAGATGGCAAAGGCAAAGCCCCTCTGAACAAATCTTGTCAAGAAAACGCAGCAATAGGGTCGCAAGAAATGACTTGAGGAAACACAACAACCACAAAACAAAGTTTGTGTACTTCTCAAAATGTTGTTGGAGTGCAACTCCCAGCATTCCTCGCCATGGGCTATGCTGGCCAGGGCTAAGGGGAGTTGTAGTTGTTGTCATTATATTTATATTTATTTCTATCCTGCTCCCCTTCAAAGTTGGGATTTAAATGGGTTCAATGGCATCAGATGTCCACACAATCCCCTCTCCTTCTGAAATGAATAACTTTTCCAAATTATTTTTAAAGAGGTAAATGACATTTTCAGACAGCATTAACAGATAGCAGTTTCCCAAGTTTTATGCCATTCTTTTAGCCTGTGTGGTGTAGTGTTGTGATTGTTGGACTATGACTCTGGAGATCAGGGTTCGATTCCCCGCTCAAGCATAAAAACCCATTGGGTGACCCTGGGCAAGTTGCACTCTCTCAGCTTCAGAGGATAGCAATGACAAACCCTCTCTGAACAAACCTTTCCAAGAAACCCCTGTGATAAGTTTGCTGCAGGGTCGCCATAAGTCGGAAACGACTTGAAGGCAAACAAACACACACACACATCAGTCCTAAGGGTTTGTTACTCTCTCTTTGCAAAGTTAATGAAAAAGCAGTGAGCAAAGCAATCCGTAATTTTTAAAAACACTGCAGCGAGCAACAGTAGTGAATCACTTCTGAGCACTAGAATGAGTGGCAGGAATGGATTACCGTACTTTTCAAAAGTTACATTCATGCCCTCCAAGTGTCCTCATTTATCTGGGACAGTCTCAACTAACCCTCTGTTAACCCACCTTTTCGATTGCTTTAAAAATGTCCCAGTTTCTCTTTCCTCCTCCTCCTTTCCCCCTTCATCCTCAGCCTACTTCAATTCCTGCAAACCGAGTTTAAAGTGCCAAAGTAGTTTGCACCCAATTCGCAGGTGGGAGAGGAGAGGTGTCAGTGTGTGGATGATGGGTGTTGCAGTGATGCCCTTTGACATCCAGCAGAATCTCCAGGACAAGCTGGCTGCTGTGATCCACAGCCACTTTGTATCTCTTACCATCAACTGGCTCAGCTTCTCTTCTTTAGGATCCTGTCTTCCTCAGTCAAGAAGACACATTGTAAAATCCAATAGTATAGTTTATTAATGCATATAAAAGAAAAATAAGATAGCTAAGTAAAATCCATTGTGCTGAACTTGTCTAGTTCAGCCATGAAAGATTACATCTTTAACAAGAGGATGGGGCATTTCCCCCTGTTCCAGGAGGCTCAGGCAAAAGCAAACTGCTGCAGCCTCTCTTAACTTGTGTATTAATCCTCAATAATGACTTTTGCCCACTTGATGTTGGAATTTGGATCTTGGATCTTGGATGTTGGATCTTGGATGTTGCTTAGCCATATATGTCCTGGTTATCATCTATGAAATGTTAGAGGATATGGACATTCCAAGAGCTATTCCCATGTCGGGAGGGAAGGAATCAAGATTTTATTCTCCTAATATTCTCTACTATTGACTTATGGCCCCTCATTCAACCTGCATTTCTACCCCGGGGGACAAACTTGGATTATTATGTCATTCAAACTGGGGTGTGTTTTGTATGTGTCGGGAAATATCCTGTAGGATTTTAAAAGCTTTTTTTGTTTCGATCTTTGAAAAATGATCCCTTAGGCCCTTAAAAAAATAACATAAAATAAAATCCCTGCTCCACATTCTTGCTCAGGAAACCAGAGGGCTGAAAGAGGCTGGGACTTTAAATAGACCTTGTCCAAATGGGCTGTTTTTTCTTTTTCTTTCTTCTCTCCTTTTTCTTTTAAAAGGCCGGCTTGCAAGTAAACTTAGCACGGCTGAACTTTCCGCCAGAGGATCAGGATGACAGGGACAATGTATCATCCATGTACTTTGTCATCATCAGGACAACAAAATTTACTGTCAAGTCTGGCCAAACATTGAGGTTTTAAACTCTGAGTACAGTGGCTTCCCACTCGAAGCATGTGGGTCATTTGTATAAAGTCCCCCGTTCCTTTTTTGCTTTTATGTGCCCGATGCTTGAAAATGGCATTTTTATTGAGGAAGGAAATGCGAGTTCTTAAGTTCACATTGCTACAGAAATACACCATGACCAGATGGCAGCATATTGTACTCTTTGTTGGCCATTGGAGAAGGGAATAGTGGGGTCATACAAATTCTCCTAAGGCAGGCTTTTCATCCTGTACATGTGTAGGACTACACTTCCTATCATCCCCAGACAGATCATAGAAGAAACACATTGAGGAAGAAGAAACACGTTGCCAAAAAAAAAAAAAAGAAAAAAAAAGAGGGAAAATGAGAGGACTTAAATGCGCCTAAAATTTGTATAAACGGATGGATGTGTATAGATACTACTTTGGAGAATGTTACTATACTTTAAACAGAAAGACACAGTATATCTGCACAATATGTTGTTAGCTGCCCTGAGTCTCGTTGTTCAGAGAAAGATGGAATATAAATTAATGATGATTTTGATCATCATCATCATCATCTGTGTATATATTGAATATTTCTATTTAAGACTGTGACCAGGTGACCAGTCTGCTCAGGCAATTGTCTGGGCACTACCTTTTGATGAATGATTTCAAGTATTTCCAGCTCCTCGCCCTTTTTAGGGTTCTCTGTCTTTAAATAGGATTTGAACTCGACAGGTGATTGTTGTTATAAGTCTACTTTGATTTATAGTGGCTTTATGCATGAGAAACCTTCAAAAAACCCCAGCTCAGGACTGTGCAAACTCAGGACTTTGACATCCTTGACTGAGCCAATCCACTTGTAATGTGGTCTTTCTCTTTTCCTGCTGTCTTCGACTTTACCAAGCATTATTGTCTTCCAATGAGTCCCATTGTGTCATGATATGTCCAAAGTATGGCAGCCTCAGTTTAGACGTTTTGGCCTCTGGGGAGAGTTCCAGCATGCTTTCCTCTTGGACTCATTCATTAATCTTTTTAGCAGTCCATGGTATCTGTAGAACCACATTTCTTGAAATAGAGGATTGTCCGCTGTAAAGTAGGACACAAGCCCTCCTTATTTTTCAGTGTTACTTGAATGTTGTCTCTTATGTTGAAGGCCAGCTTTGCTTTCCAATCAATTACCACTTCTATAGGGTTTTTGTGGGTTTTTCAGAGAAGATGCCAGCCACAGATGCAGGTGAAACATCAGGAATACATTCTTCTAGAACATGGCCTCACAGCCCGAAACCCCCCAAAAACCTATGGATGCCACCCGTGAAAGCCTTCGACTTCACACTTCTAACTTTGTTTCTCTTCCTCAGCAGTACTAGTGTTTTGATGTTGTCCATGTCATTGGGACAGTGAATCCATTCCTAAAAAATTAGTTCAAGCTATACAAGGGGCAGAATCTATTTTACTGATAGAAGCCTTGGAGAACTCTGAAAAATTCGAGTACAACCTGGAGAGGATTCACAGCCTCACTGATGCAGAAGCTACCAACAACCGATGCTCAGTAGTCAGCGCTATTCTTGACATTGAGGCAGAAAATCCAAAAAGTGATTCTCTTCCACAGACAGAGGGAGATTAAAATAAAATAAAATAAACAAGAAGTAATTTTCTGTATGTTAACTGTACTTAGATTTTGCCTCCTGAGATGGCTACCTTACTCAAGATCTTGGTGGATCCAGCTCATTCTCTTGACCAAACATCATTTGCAGTCACCACCCAAGGTGGCTAATCTATTCTGCTTTTCAGTAAGGCTGGCACCATCTCACACCCTCCAACCATCCTGGTTTAGTGGGGACAGTCCTGGTTAATCCTCACCTGTCCCACTTTCTCAGCTGCTTTTAAAATGTCCTGGTTTTTCTTTCCTCCTCCCACTGTGCCCCTTTGTTCTCATCTCTAGTTGCTGCAAACTGAGTTCAAATTGCCAATGAGGCTTGAATATTTGCGTTTTTTGTTTTTGTTTTTGCAGGGGGTGGCAGAATGGATCCTCCATGAAAATGGAGGGGCTACTGTATATAAATTTCAGGGTTTCTAAATTTAAAATAATTTTGTGTGTTCTTCCTTATTAATAACATTAATCTCTAGTTGCCTGGTGTCTCCCTTATGAGTTTGCTTGGCCACATATGTCTCAGTTGTCATCTGTCCAGTGATGGAGGGCATGCAGTCTTTGACCCAATGACCAATGACAGAGCTGGCCCAGCTCCTTGACCATTCACCCTTTGATGGCCATCTGAACATTGGCACAGAAAGGGATAAAACTCTAATGAAGTTTATAGGCTGCTGGTAGGACTGGGAATATCCTTTATGTAAGATGTTTTGTGCTGTCTCACTTTCTCTTTGGTTTTCCAATGGTGGTGTTTTCCTAGCGTCCACCCTGCACCTATCTCCTTGCCTCTTTTCAAATCTTAATGAAAGGACCTCCAGAAGTGACAGTTCTGTCCCTGGGTTCGATGTGTGCTCCCAGTTCTACAAAAGCAAAGGAGGATCACTTTGGATGCCAGCAAACTGCAGGGAGCTTTAAACTCAGAAAGAGTAAATACAGTCATTGTTCTAAAGCAAGGGGACTTGAAATTCTGTCCGCAATGCAGGTTGTTTCCCCACTTTCCTTGTTTTTTTTTTTCTGTTGGCGACTCCGTAAGGAAATGGCTCAGCTATTGTTTTTGGCCTGTTGACTTCCAGAGACTGTAAGCACGAGAAATGAAAGCTATTTGATGTCACGTGTTACTTTGGTGGACACCAACCCGCTCCCCCTCTGGCAAGTTTCCCCAAAGCTAAATAGGTTTTCTCTGTTTCTATTTAACTGACAGGTATATGTGAATGGAGAATGGGTGACCAGCATCGGAGAAGGTGGTAGCTTCGGTGAACTTGCGCTCATCTATGGGACGCCAAGAGCTGCGACTGTCAAAGCCAAGACCGATCTCAAACTCTGGGGCATTGACCGGGATAGCTACCGACGCATTTTAATGGTGGGTTCAAAACCTAATGATCTGCTGAAGTTATGGCTGCCATTTGACTGGGTCCTTTAATGATGCCAGAAACTCTCATGGCACTTCTGTTGCTTAAGTGAGATTTCCAAGCTTTTAAATTTAGGCCTCCTTTTCTTAGGGCCTGCTGCATTTAGGAAATGAATAGCAATACATGGATTTGTATGTGCATTGGGGAGAGGAAGGCACTGTCAATAGAATGCTGCTTTACACAAGGCAAGCATCCAGCCCAGAAATTCATGCCCAGAAATGCAGCGAAATAGGCAAACGCCCAGGACATTGCGAACGTAACGGATGGCCAGACTCAAATCTCGGTCTGTATAGTATGAAAAGGCAGGATGTTGTGAGAAGCTGGAACCTGAAAAGCCGCAGCAGGTTCTTGCTGTATGTCTTCAAGTCATTTGTGACTTATGGTGACCCTAAGGCAAACCTCTCTTGGAGTTTTCT